TATCATAGGATAGGCATTGAGGACTTATGGCAGTTCCATAGAATTCGTCATTAGAACTTAGGGTTTCCTATAGGATGCATCGTTTTCCCGGGATTCTCATCGTGTTGCTTGGGTTTTAAGGATTCCTATTGTGCTTATAGGGATGTGGAATCTAGTGAATTCATCTCCTAGTCGACAATTCCCTTAGGAATCCTCAGGAAGTCCCCCAGAAAAATCTCCGGGAACTCACGACAGGAAGACCCCGGTGATTTACGAGGTAGTCAAGAACTTCCGGGGGATTTACGTGGGAGTTCCTGAGAATTTGCTAAGGAGTTCCTGGGAATTTGTCAGGAACGCCGCAGAAATATGCCATGAGACTTACGGCGACTGTAAACGATCGTACCAACGTTTTAATCATAATATTCACCCCTAATGAAATCTCATTATAAAGTTCCCCTCGAAGTCCCCGAGAAATCATGACAGGAACTTCCCCAGGGACCGAGGGGGAGTGGGGAACTCCCCAGGGATCCACTTGGGGACTCTCGACTAGGGACCTTTTCCCCTATGTGTAGCAGCCTTTAAAACTGGTTATCTATGTTCGACGCACTTGAAAATATGGGCAGAGTATATTGTTGAAGACTACTTTAGATTTTGGATTTTTTCGGATTTTTTGGGATTTCTGAGATTTTTTCGGATTTAAAATCCAGAAAAATCCGCTTTTTCCCCCTTGGCTAATAGTCTTTTTGGAGAATTTATCTGGAAATTATATCGGGAGAAACCATATCTTTTAGATTACAATAGAACTTATCAATCATTTCGACATGGATGAGATTGTTATTATATTTTTATCGATCATATCTTTTTTTGATTGGAAATATAATAGAAATCACTCATTTTTTGCATCTTTAAACTAAGACAAGGTCTAAACAATCGAATAAAATAATTAATAGTGTGTGAATGGTAAACCATACACAGAAATCCCTGCATCAATAAGCATTTAGGTGTTGAAATTGAATAAATTCTGCTTTAGTGTTTTTAGTGGATGAATGTATATGAACTCAATTCGTTTGAGTTTTGGAGTTTCTTATGGAGGTTTGATGACTCATTCAGATAGATTCGAATCAACCTAACGAAGCAATTGATTAGCGATGGAATATTCATTGATTGACAAGTTCTGTTTTGTATTCAACAATTCTAATAGCACTCTTAATTCTAATGAAGAGTTGTCATTTCGAAATTTCAGCACACTTATCTCAATCTGTATTGAAAATAAATGAATAGAAATGTGTTCTTACTAAACGCTGTCAATTTTATTGCATTTTATTAGATGAAAAATTACCTTTATTCCATGCAACTCACATCCTAAAGACATGACCATGGGATGTGGATGTGTTTCGGGTAGTGGATGAGAGTGTGATTATGGGTGTAGAAATGCGATTTTGTGGTATGGCATGTGTGTTTGTAGGCGTGGATAGGGTATGAATGTAGAGGTAAATGACGGTGCGGGTGTGACTGTAGATGTATTTGAAATAGCGTGTGAGTGTGGCTGTGGGTGTGGATATGGTTGTTGGTATGAAGTGTGGATAAAGAGATACTCGCACTCACACTCACATCCACACCCACAAGAGGTTCGTCCATTCACCATTTTTCAGTTCGTTGCCATAATGGCATCACAACAATGGCTCTAGCAGCGCCACCTATGTTTATTCACTACTTTTCAGCGAAAACCCAGTGTCCATTTCGATAGAGAGAAATTTTCTCTATCGACTAGCATTAACAGAATCTTTGGCCTTTGACAAAAATCCAGAGGGAGACACACAAACTGCATTTGACATTGTTTCGCATATTTACATAAGTTCTGTCGACTATATCAGCATATCAACCTAGGAGAACGAAACAAAACATCAGCATGATAGTGATGTATTTATATATATATATATACAATGTGCAAAGGTGTCTATCTTTCTACACAACAAATCGACAAGCAACTGTGAATCAAAGGCTCTGACTATCAAAACAACAGCAACAAAAAAATGGGCAAACTTAACGGAAAAATCGCTCTTATTATCGGTGGTTCTGAAGGAATCGGTTTCGCCACTGCTCAGCGGTTCATCGCTGAAGGTGTGGAGCATATCTTCATTACTGGACGTCGCCAAGAGGTCCTTGACGAAGCCGTGAAGAAAATTGATAGCAAGAATGTGAGTGCCATACAAGGTGACGTATCCAATATGACCGATCTTGACAACCTCTACAGTATCATTCAAACAGAGAAAGGTCGTTTAGACATTCTTTTCGTCAACGCAGCGGCAGGATCATTTGTAGCACTGGGCTCGATCACGGAAAAAAAATTTGATGATTCATTCAACGTTAATGTGAAAGGAGCATTATTTGCCGTTCAAAAAGCTTTGCCGATATTCACCGATGGTGGATCAATCGTTCTAAATGGGTCTGTTGCTGCCGTCAAAGGTGGTTCAGGCGTTAGCATCTACAGTGCTAGTAAGGCGGCCCTACGCTCTTTCGCTCGCTGTTGGACGGTCGATTTGAAAGAGCGCAAGATTCGAGTGAATATTGTGCAGCCAGGGCCAATCGATACGCCTGGATTGCGAAGTCTCGGAAACAGTGAAGAGGAAAATAAAACGATACGCGCTCGCCTGGCAGCTGCTACTGTGATGAATCGTATTGCAATGGCCGATGAAGTTGCCAAAGCAGTAGTCTTTCTCGCATCGGACGATAGTAGTTATGTTACAGGCATTGAGCTTTTTGTCGATGGAGGTCTTGCACAGATTTGAGACTTTTCTTGTGCGCTAAAAGTTGTGCGAATAGAGAAAAGAACAATAGAAAGGAATAAATAAGTGTCTAGCTATATCTAGGTAACTGTGAAAATCGCATTGAGGATGTGAGTGGGTGAGTAGATGCGGGATGTAGGTGTGCATATTTCTTTATCATCCATACTCACTCTCATCAATCTCACCCACCCACACATCCATCCAAACCATAGATGGAACCGGTCAAGATTTTTGACGACCGGTACAGATATCGATCTCGCTTTGTTAGATCGGACCGACCGTTCGAACGGTGCCCAATCAATAGGCCGGTCTAGAAGAGCAGAAATTCTATTCTCTGTAGTTACACTACTTCTTATTTTTCTTATGTGCGAAAACGTCTATTTTTACAGCCATGACAACAATTGCTGACCTATCTTGAGGGCGTGGGTGTGGGGGTGTGGGTGTGAGTGGATGTGTGGGTGTGGGTGTGTGGTGGTGTGGGCGTGTGTGAACCTGTACTCTTCTTGTCTACACCCACACAACCACACCCCGGCCGGTCGCCGGTAGACCTGTCAATTACCTGTAGACCAGCCGATCACCAGTCGACCAGTCGTTACCGATATACCAGTCAGCATCGATCTACCTTATTTACTTTTGTGTTCTTATTATCTCATAAATAATGCTAATGAACTTTTATTAATGGTTCGCTATGTAAAACATTATTATCCATATCTGAAATTGCCATCGACAAGCAGTCGGTACGAATTTAAGATTGGCCGCTCTTTCCGTAGACCAGTCATTATTGCTAGACAGGCCGATCCGGTCCAATCTGACCTTTTCAGACCGGTGCCAGTAACGGTCGTCAAAAATCTAGACTCGTTTCATATCTGACCTATTCATATTTTATATTGCTATTTTCTTTTTACCTTTTCTACGAAAGAACATAACAAGAGATTTTGCAGTAAAAATTTAGTATTCGACTTCATCTGATGCATCAGTGTCCTTTTGTCTCTAGTAGCAATTTCTACAATATTGCTTGCAAGCTTCTGCTAAATAGATGTATCAAACGCGATATTCATAGAAAATTCAAAACTATGCATGCAATACGACAGACCTTAGTACTTCACTATTTTACAATAACGCGTTCTTCTGAAAGAAATTGTACAATAAAAATCATGATCGTATGAGTAATTTTTCTCACCTACAACATGTGCAACAGATTAAAAGCCAACTTAAATGAGTTCTTTTTTCTCATTTCTTTCTTCTTCGTCTTTTTTTCTCTGGTTTTGCTTATTCCTTTCTCTTTCTTATTTTCCTTCGTATTGTTTTTCTTTTCTTCCATTTTTCTTCTACAACCCAGCAAGTCAATATCAGTACTCGTTACAAACATATTAACTAGCAGGAGCTAAATTTCGACCATATATGATATTTATTTGAACCAGAGCTATCTTTTTCTTCTCTTTCTTCTAAATCTGTATTATTTTTAAAATTTGTTGAATGAAATATTATACGTTATTGAGCCTTGTTTCATAGGTAAATAAGGATATCCATCTTTCTCTTTTCGTTAAGAATAACTATATTGCTCTTTTGCATGTTCTTTTTCTTCTCATGTTTGCTCGTAACACTGTTCTGAATTATTATCTCCTCCTTACTTTTTGCAAGTTCTGCGTGTTTATTTGACTTTGTTATCTGGTTACAGTTACTTTAAGATAGCGAAGCAAATGGCGACAAATCCTAGTCTCAATTCTGCTTATTCTTTCACAAAGCCTGAAAGGATCTTTCAGGATCATGAATCTCAAGGATCTTGTCAAGTTTGATTCAGAATCCTGGGTGTGAGGTGCGGGTGTGGGTGTGTGGCTGTGGCTGTGGCTGTTGGTTAGGAAGGTGCTGATACACATACCTACACCCACACCCCACAGCCACAGCCACAGCCACACCCCACACACTCACGCCCACACTCATACCCACACTCACAGAATATCGATAGTACCATTGATGAATTTGCTAAATCAACATGTAAAATAAGTTTTACAAATGAACTTATATAAGTTCGTAACCGTCCACCTACAACCAAAAGATGTTATTAAATAAGATTCAAATCACTGAATAATTTCGAAATGTCGTCATTATCAGACAATGTAACTATGCTAATCTTTCTTATCGACAAATTGAAATAAACTAATTTGAAATTTATATATTATTTATTAAGAATAGAAACAAAATATAGTAACAATGTTGTCATATGAAACTTTTAGATTAATTTTCAGTTAATTTATAGTCTTTCATGATTTCAGCAATTGTTTTCTTTGCTTCTTTCTCATTCAGATCTTTAATCGATTTTTCATAATCCCAACGATTTGATTTGTACTGAGCATCTTTCACTGCAGAAAGAGCATAATCAGGATTGGGACCACGTATTAAATTGAGTATCTCTTGAAATACAACTCGCATTGTTGTCTGAGGAGACCATTGGCTTTGTAAAATATCATGACAGATGCGACCATCATCATTGATATTACAATGATAAATAGGCGTTATGAAGCGTATATTAGGTGGCTGAAAAGGAAAGTCAGATGAAAATTCTACTGACAGCAACCAATAATAACCAACATATGGTGTACCATCGGGTCCTTTCATAATAACTTTCCAGAAGAGTAGATTTTCTTGCGTTAAAAAGACAGTAAAATTATCTAAAGATGATTTTTTCAAATCATCAAGTTCTTTTGATACCCTACGATTTGACATTGCCGACACTTGACTTATATTCATTTTTGCATTCATAACATTAATGGCAGGTTGATAAAGCTTTTCTGTTGGACGAATTTCTGTTTTTCAACTTTTACATATGACCTCTCATCACGTAAGCAAACCATAAGTGATGCTTCGCGTTCAAATAACTTTGCCATCTCCATTTTATCATAAGGTACATTTATATAGTAGAATCCTTTTGTAGCCTCACAGAGTTGAACTAGGTTTGACGATTCATGTTTCATAAACGCAATGGCATCGAAAACAATCTTTTCATTTTTTAATTTCGATTTAATTGTTTCAAATGATGCTTTTACACTGCTATTGTCTTCACCATCTGAAAAACAAACAATCAGAGAACGACATTCAGTACTCAATTGCTTTTCGTTATCCTTGCGAAAGCCAATAATTGATTGAACAGCCATTTCGATAGCATCGTACATAGGAGTCGTACTGCCACATTTTGGTAGATTGCTTGATGCCTTCTCAAGTTGGCTCAGATCTTTCGAGATTGGACACTTCTGATTAATTGAAATGATATCAGCACCAAAATATATAAGTCCAATAGCTTGTGGAAATTGGTAGCCAACAATTTTATCACACCATATGCCAAGTGCAATAGTACTAAGATCAAGTAAGCTTTGCTGGTTGTCTCGTTGATTTCCTACCATTGACTTCATTGAACTACTAACATCGAACAGCAAGACAGTAATCTGTTTGATAAGTCGTGTTTTTTCTAAACTTTCTCGAACAGGAAAATAAGAATATTGGCTCAAGTCATCATCCTTGGCAATATCTTCCTTTTTGAAAGTATTTCGTGATTGGTCCCCGAAAGGATCAAAACATTCATAATTATCTTCACTTTTCTCTTGTTCAATCAGATACACAACATGATTACTTTTAAGTAGGACGAACTGATTATATTTACACTTGTCAAAAGTCGACAAGTTTACAAATGTAAATTGGCGATAAATACGGTTTTGTTTCAGATGATTATGAATATTATTAATTTCCTCTTCTGAAAGCCTAGAAATTTTTGATCGCTGTTCAAAAACATTACCAATAGAAAACATATTGTTCTGTTCAGTGGGAACCCATATGCGATAATTTCTAAAAAAAACAATAATTAAAGCTATCGAAATTAGAAAGTATTTTATAACTTACTTAAAAAATTTATTACTAATATCTTCACCTGATTGTTGTCTCATCCATGCAAGAAGAGCAATTAAATCAGATTGGCGCACAAAATTCCCATTGATTCTCTCTTCTTTTTGTTCATCGATCAACTCCTTGATGCTAAATCGATCATCGACATTCAATAGAATTTGAACAGATTGGTAGCAATCGAATTTTGTTGAAGAATGCTGTGTAGTTTCGAATAAATGATAAAATATATGAGGCGTGTACAGAAAGATATCACCATCTTTCACCATAGATTGTGGTAGTATTTCCCGAAAGAGTCGAAAGAATGCTTCACTAACGAGTTGTTTCTCGAATAGAAAACATTCTCCTTCTAGCAAATGATACAATGCTAGACATGCTGGTTGAAATAGAAATTGACGAAGAAGAAGCAGAAATTTAGAAATATGATTAAAGTTGATTGCATCGATTTCTGACTCCGATGGACTTAAAAATGCAATCTTTAGAACTCTCAATGAAATAAGGAATATTGCCATGGCCATTTTATTTTGTGCCACACAACCTAACGGTTGCCAAAAATCATGAGCCAGAAATAGTTCACTTTCTTCTGCTTTTTGGTAATTAAGATAGTTTGTTTCAAATTGACGTTGACATTCAAATAGATAAAAATCTGGAACTTTGTTTTGGGAGTCGTTATTGCGTTTATGTAGTTTCAAGTAATTTGTAATTAATTCCTTCGATTTCCAAAGGTGCATACGATGATTGAAGAGAATTGGAAAAGTTTTGGTAAACGAGAATTTTTCATCAGTAAGAAGTTTAGAAAATAAATCCTCCAGAGTAGCATTGTCGTTCATATTATATTCAAACTGTTCACCAGCCAATGTTTGAATACAAATACTTAGAGAAACTTGAGATACGCTTTCTTCCAATCGAAGCTCGGTGCCTGACTTGAGACCATATTCATGAATTGTTCGTGATGGCAACAATCGATCGTTGTTATAAAACAGATTGAAGGACTTAGTCGTATGACTGTCAAAATCTTCCTTTAGCAAATTAATGAAGTCTTTAACCTTCATTTCAGGAGCAGGTATAGGACATCTATTTGATTGTCCATGATATATGATAGTCAAGTAGTTGTCTGCCATTTTCTATTTGAAAAACAGAAAGGAAACCGCGTGTAAGAAGTAAATCTGAAGAATCGTTAATATAAATTTATAATGTAAGTAAAAGATCTATCTACTGGACACCTTTCGAAGGGTTGAAAGGCTTTTAAATGGTTTGTGAAGGAAAAGGGATTTGACACTGTCATGGTAATTTACATCCTCGATTGAGATTTTCCCTTGCTACCATCGAAGCAAAGCTAAGGATGGGTGAAATAGTACAGGAATGAATGAAGAATATGGGTATATAAATACAGGTGAGTGTGTGAGTTTTTAATAATTGAAATAAAGGAAAATTTTTCATCCAATGTGCAATTTGGTAAAAACCGTCATTCATGGAAAAAAACCTCATGGGAAAAACGGAATAAACCGCCGAGAAATAATGTGTTATGCCAATGACGCCTTTCATAAAATCTCACGTGTACGTGGGAGTTTTTTCTCCTGGAAGTAGCAGAATGAGTAAAATGAGTCAAGTCGATGGGTGTAAACCCAGGTAAAACCTCGTCGGTGAAAACACCCATGATGTTTACTATACTCGGATATGCATTAATATAGACATAAATAAGTTTCTTGGTAGTCAATAGAAGACAATGAATCTTGGATTCCGTCGAATCAACGGATTTGTGAATAATTTAACGACTTTGCTTTGGGTAAATTGAGCAGCTATGTATTCTCATTTCGACTATAAATGAAAAACAATGAGGGTGTGGGTGTGGGTGTGGGTGTTGGTGTGGGTGTGGGTGTGTGTGGGTGTGGGTGTGGGTGGGTGGTGGCTGGGTGTGGGTGTAGGTGTGGGTGTGGGTGTGGGTGTGGGTGGGTGTGGGTGTGGGTGTGGGTGTGGGTGTGGCTGGGTGTGGGTGTGGCTGGGTGCGTGGGTGTGGGTGGGTGTGGGTGGGTGTGGGTGTGGATTGGGTTTTCGTTAGCTGATACTAATCCCAACACCGTCGGACCTACCCATACCCACACCTACATCCACACACCCACACCCTCTATTGCATCGTCAGGTAAACGTTGAAGAGTTTGACTAAGAGCAATTAATTTTCGATAAGGTGATTCATTGCCATATTCAGAAGTCTAGTGTAACTAGTGTAATATGTATTATAATCTAGAATAGTAAGTAGAAATTGAAATCATATGTATATATATTCACAGACTTTATTAGGCTAAGAAACAAAAAGAAAACAGAAAAATAAATATTTTTATTTACACAAATAATTGAGGTCTTTTCCATTTATAATGAATAATTTGAGATAACGGAAAAGTTTTCTTCTCACTTAATCGATATTGTTTAGCATCAAATTCACTAATTTGGTGATCAGAAAACAATTGCAAATGGCATAAATTTGATTTTCTTGACGATATTGAAATTCTTCTCAAATAAATTGATAATAATTATTGTTTGAATTCGACGAAAATTTACAATGGTACGTTTTTTAATTACTATCAATGCCACAATTCGATAAAGCATATTGCATACTTCTGTTAAGCCACTCATCAAAAACAAGAAATGGTGCTGTTTGTAATGAATATAGTGCATCCTTTGATCTCATGTGATGAACTAAAGAACGTGGAAATGTCAATTTATACCAATCTTAAAAATGCTCATGTAGATCAATTAAATTTAATTGGTTCAAGTCCTTTTCGTTGAATAATTCATATTGATAAAATGTTGATGACTTGTCTTTTGGATTACCCCTAGCAAATACATATTTATTCGGTGAAAAAATTTCTTTGAATAGTTGTATTATTTTTTGCTCTTTAGTATAATCTCGTGTTCTTGTTGTAAAATTAGATTTGAGGTATAAAACTTCAACAAGAAGAATCAGCGGTGAATGTTTAAAAGAACTGAATTATATGTGTATTAATGATGGTATAGATTTACTGACCCATGGATATGGGTCTATTTAGTGTTGTGTATCAAGAGTAATGTTAAATGTTTCAGAAGCTATCTTATGACATGATTTAAAATTTCTGTTGATGTCTGCTTACGTATAAAGATTAAATTATAATTCTGTAGTGGTTCAAATAATTGGTAATTTGGATAATATCGATCAACTAAATCTTGATAATGTTGATTTTTCAAAATGTTTTCTCGTTGATAACGTAAATTTCGTCGATCTAATCGATCTAAAGATGATTCCATTTGACTTAGGAATATTGATGAATTCATCTAAAACGAAAACAGAAGAATTGAAAAAAAAACATCATGAGTTGTTACAAGGACAGAGGAATAATGGCATATGGCGGTAAATGGAATGTACTTATTCAAGCATATAACAATCAAAGTGATTAAATAGATGAGAGAAGAAAAAAAACATGAACAAACATTAAATTGTGTCTTTTGCAAAGTACAATTTCATACATAGGACAAGCGATATTTTGGAGTTAAATAATGATTTATGTATGGGATAGTTGAATAGTAAACAGGCGGTTCATTTTGATTCGGGATCAGAATCTATAAAATATAAATAGGTTTAATGCAAACTATGCTAACATAAGTTTATTTTTTGTCTTAGAGAGAAAGAATTTATACTTTTTATCTTTTCATCTGGTCACTTCCATTTGATGATGAAAACTGTTGCATGTTTTGCATTGACATAGTATATTTCTTTTTGGCAAATGAGTTTGTCATAGAAGCAGCTAAATCATGACTGGTTTTAGGTCGTTTTTCAACAAAGAAAATTTTTTTTGACTTTCATTGGTCAATATAATGTAGAATTGCCAATAGCACGATTAGTATTAAAAATGTCATAAGGAGTATTAAGATAGGATACAGGGTGGGTGTGGGTGTGGGTGTCATTCTTCTCTGCATTCACATCCACACTCACGCCCACACACCCACACCCACACCCACACCAACACCTACACCCACAGCCACACCCACGCCTACCCACAGCCACAGCCACAGCCACACCCCACACCCCACACCCACACCCACACCCTTATTACTCACTTCGAGGAAAACTTATACATAATATATCATCTTATATTCTATCTCCAGCTGAAGAACGCTTACTATGCAGAGGATGGGATTTCTGTATTGAAAACAAAATCACTAATTTCATTGAGCTTAAGGGGGAACCCCCCCACAGAAAGTCGATTTTTCTTAGAAAATTCGATTTTTCAAAAAGCACATATTCTTGTAGCCCTGAGTGTCCTCTTTCAGAATATATATAAATTATATATGAATGAGACATATTTAGGCCAATTTTGGCGCCTTTATTTGAAGCACTAGCGGAAATAGTCTAATTTTAGTGACTTTTTCCTTAGTTACCATGAACTAATATCGTTCAAATTTTTCCTTTAGCATTATAAAACCATGCTGCTATCAAATAACATGTTTAGAAGCTGTTTGAGCGCTTGTACAAAGA